TGGACAAGTTTGTAACAAATTCAGATATTCATGGCATGCACACTAGACGGGGTTTAGATTTACATTATCCAACCTGTAAACTGACTAAAGTGCAAAAGGGAGTGTTTTATAGTGGGATTAGGATATTTAACAACTTGCCATGTAGAATTAAAAGCTTGTCAGAGGACATTAAGAAATTCAAATATTCCCTAAAAAAATTTTTGCAGGTGGGCTCTTTTTATTCCTTACATGAGTATTATGAATGGAAATCAAGGAATGATTGTGCTTCCTATAGATAAAGATTGCGCCTATTATTTGTCACATCTAGAATATAATATTATCTGTCTGTTTTTGTTTATAATTGTTGTGAATGGCACCTGATTTTTGATGTTGTTTGTTTCGGTGTTGTGTCTGTGATTTGGTTTGATGTGTTACTTGTTTGTGTTCTACAACTGTTAATGTACTACAATTATATGTGGCCTTTTTAAATGTCTTGGATATTTAATTTTTAACAATTTATCATTTTAAATGTACTTTTTATTGACATGTTCTATATCTCAAGGCAGCACTGCCAATTGTAGATCTCTGGAACGAAATAAATATGTATGAATGTATGTAGGTATTCAAATGGCCATTCTCTCAAAACACTTTCTTTCACTAGAATATGCTCACATCAGTGCATGACATTATGTAATCACGAGCAATGTGTATGTTTTTCAAGTGACTTAAAGATGCTGCACTTGAGGTTGGAACAGCAGTGGCTATGAAGAGTCTTCTGGAATATAATGTCATGTAGTTCACAAAATACCTGCCTGCTTCTTGCTGGCATCTTGCTTGGCTTACTCTTCAGCCCTAAAGAGGGAGGCAGTATGTTCTCCAAAATACTGGGCTCTTTCTGAATTGTAGAGCATTACAACCTAGAAGATCATTTTATGTATGAACTAAAGATGTTTTATTAAACAGTTTGAGAAGTCATTTTGTGCAACAAGTGCACACTGAAATCTGTTCATAAATTAATCAGTCAAGTAATTTATTAACATGCAGTATTAATCCTCTCCATATTGCAACACAGTATCATGCTTATAAATATTGGTGATAATAGGGTGCATATATTTTGCAACAGAGAAGATCAACAAAAGAAACTTGTCCTACTGATCAGTTATATGTGACAGTTCTTGGCTTCTTCACAACAGGTTTTATTTATTGCAATGGAAATACAATAAAAAATTAAGGATTATGAGATCTTAGTTTTTTGGGATGGTGAATATGAGGATTAGAATCTCTCTTGATCTGACACCATGTTTGTTCTTCAATCTAACTTGTTTCACAAATTTAATTCAAAGATTAACAAGTTACAAGTAACCCAATAATCATTATTTCTATTAATTCTGAGACAGAATGGAGAGCTTGTAGTTAATGACACGACAGTGGAACTGACAGAGAGAAATCAGTCGCTGAAGATTATGTTGGTGAAACCAGAAAATGAAGGAAAATATAGCTGTGTGGTGAAGAACAGACTATATGAAGATTCAGCAGAGGGATCTGTCACAATCACAGGTGAGGGAGAGGAAAATATATTTTGTGATAAACAGTATTGTGGTGCATAGCAGTTTTAGTCAGAAATGTAAAGGGAAGAACTCACATAACATGCCTAGCCTAGGCATAGGTGGGAGGATAATAATGAAATGGATCTTGAAGTGATACAGTAGGATGGTGTAAACTAGATTAACTGAGTCAGGTTAAGTTTCATAAAAGGCTGTGATTTCTTGACTATCTGAGCAACTATTATTTTCTGAAAAAGAACTATACTCAGTGGAGATAGTTATATAACTTGGAGATAAACACACACATACATTTATATTGTTAACATCTCAGAACCTTCTATAATTTGCTGGAAATGAATGCAGTGTGAATATGTTTATTTATTTTATTTACATTTATACATTCCGTTGATCCTTATGGTACAGCTGACCAGTGGATATGGATTTTGTCCCAAGCTAATAGATTAAAATACGCAAAATACAAAAACTACATACATACTTTTGTCATTAAGACAGTTAAAAGATTTATATTAAAGTACAATGCATAAAATGATCAAAATTATAAAACAATAATTGATACAAAATACTTAGGTAATGATATAAAATTATAACATATCAGGGGTACAATTACCAATTTTAATTACATACATGGTTAAAATATTCCTCTAAGGAATAAAAAGAATTTGAAAGAAAAAATCTTTTTAGCCTCAATTTAAATAGTTTCACATCATTACTCATACTCTTGATTCTGGATGGCAGGTGGTTATAAGCCTTGATACCAAAATAATATGGTCCTTTCTGAAAGATTGTTAGGCGTGATGTGGGAAGATGCAAATTTGTNTTGATGATATATGCTTATGTCTGTTACCAAACTATTTTTAGTCCTGAACAGGAGATGGTGGGTTTTATTAAAATTTAAGGATAGCAGGTTAGCTTAAACCATTTGTTTATGGCTAAGAATTGTTTATTCATATTAATTTCCAAATTATGAGGGCTCGAATCGGATATTATGATACTAGTATCGTCAGCGAATAAAATAATCTTCGCATTATTTGTTATTACTTTGGGTAAGTCATTAATATACAATAAGAAAAATAAAGGACCTAATATAGAGCCTTGTGGGACACCATATTTGATGATCTCCCAATCAGAAAAGGTGGTATTATAGGTTGTCCTATTATTTAATACTACCTTTTGGTATCTATTGTTCAAATAAGACTTGATTAATTTTTTAAATACTCCATTTATCCCATAGGTAGTATTTTATCTACTTAGCACATATATAGGCAAACTTCACAAGAGCTGAAGCTCTACATCTGCTGGTACATTGTATGTTTTATCCTTCACATGAGCAGTTTCCGTTAAGGACAAAAAGGACTAGAGAATTATTGGAATTAGATAAGAACCAGGTGAGATGGGTGACAGGACTACCTACACGACTTTGTCACCCGAAGGAGCTTGTTTTCAAATTGCCATTTGTAAATAACCCCACTTTAAATATACATGAGAACTAAGAGGAAACAGCCTCATATGCCATATGTAAATGTGAAGCCTTAACTAACTCAAGATTTTGTTCCATGGGACTTCATTTTATAAAACAAAGTGATTACTTTAATGTCCCATTAAGTAAAGGACTGCATTTCATCTAAAGTGTGTGACTTAGGGGTCTAACTGAGTGGGAAATATATGTATAGTAGACTGAAGACAGTTATTATCTACAGGCTGGTATGGCCTACCCCTTAATCAGTCAAATGCTTCAGCCTTGAGGCAGGAACCAGACATGAGAGCACCAATAGATATACTTTTAGGAAAGAGGGGCTGTAAATATATATGTACACATGCATGAATATCCTTATATATCAAAAGCAATGCCTGACTTTCATACATACTAGTTCATACTTGAACTTATCATATTTTAAATATCTCTGAGAATTCCAGAGAGCGCAATAGTAACATTATACGTAGGAAAGTGAAGAACACTTACATCAGTGACTTAATAACAAGAAAAAGCAAAGGTGCGCTAAACAATAATCAGCATCAAAATATATATTATTCTTATCTCTAGAGAGTCTATCTGATGAGGTTCAGGCAGCAGAGTCCTTCCTAAGAAAATTTTAACTGCTCAGCTGCTCAAGAAATTCCCTGAATTTTACGGATCCCCAAAGAATCGTTACCATATTCATAAGAGCCCACAATTTGTCCCTATTCTTAGCAAAATAAACCCTTTCTCTTATTAACTCCATTTCAACGTTAACCTCCTATATACACATATGCCTTTAAAGAGAACTTTGTCATTCAGGTTCTTCAACCAGATGTGCATATTTCTCATCTCATCTGTATGTGCTACATGCCCCAACTATTTCATCCTCCTTGAGTTTATCACCTTGATAATGTTTGGTAAAATTACAAATTATGAAGCTCTTCATTGTGCAGTATGCAGCTTCTTCCCTATCAGGAAAGAGTAGCCATCTTAGATGATAAACTAATTTATACCTTACAAAAGAACATTTATAAAAGATAATAATGTAAATTTGTAGAAGATAAATGAAGTTGTCATCTTGTACCTTTATTTTTATTTGGCAGTCGAGTCTGGCTTTTTTGGCATCTTATATTGATGACCCCATGATAGTTACTGCTGTGTATCACAAAGTAAGTCCTATGATAAATATTTCACTATAATTACTTGAAAAGTTTTTAAAATGGTTATGTTATGTTTTGTTATAACTGTTTTTCTGAATCCATTAAATCTTGTGAAAGAGCAGCTTTATAAATGGTTCCACCAAGTACAAATTTATGGCTGTTTCAGTTAAGTAATATGACAAGTTATCCAGTGTGGTATGATATGACAATTGCAGGCAAGGAAGATTTCAGCATTATCTTAGCAGCCTCCATAGTTGTGTGTGTCATTGGCATTGTGGTGCTGGTCATAGTGCTCATAGTGAAAGTGCGAAAACAGAGGGTGAGTAGCCATATTTAGTGGTTCAGTTTCAGGCTCCCATGGAGGAACTGACTACCACAAATTGTGAATTGTAACTGCAATAATATTCACATTAAAAATATTCCAGTGAGAATTAATTATAGAATAATCTATATAATTTGTCAGTTTCTTTAACTGTAAATGTATTTTATCCAGAGTCCTATTTTGAAGCCATTAAAGGAATGTTTCTTTAGTATTATGAGGAATATTTACCCCAAAGCATTTTTCAGTCAGTACTGATAATGCACACCTGCACACTGCTTCCACAGTAGTTCAAAATGGACCTCAATTTCACCATGGATCATAGCCTTCTCTACACTGTTTACATTTTAATATTGTGATCTCTAGATGCCAACAAACTTGAGATCAAAATATTAAAATGTAAACAATATAGAGAAGGCTATGATCCATGGTGAAATTGAGGTCCATTTTGAACTACTGTGGAAGCAGTGTGCAGGTGTGCATTATCAGTACTGACTGAAAAATGCTTTGGGGTAAATATTCCTCATAATACTAAAGAAACATTCCTTTAATGGCTTCAAAATAGGACTCTGGATAAAATACATTTTGCAATAAAGAAATAAAATGTCACATTCCATAACTGCTCAGTCATCTGATTCTGCCTCTCCTCTATCCCTTCTCCTATGTTCCTGCTCCTCTGATCCTTCTGATTCTTCTCCTCCTCATTGTTTCCTCTCCTCCCCATTCTCCTTTTCATCTCCTTTCCCCTTCCAGCTATGGTTCCCCTCTGTCTCAGTCTTCTGCTAATTCCCCTTCTCATCTTCTTGCTCCTGCTGCCTGTACCATCATCTTTCTCCTGCTGCTCCTCCCCTCTGCTGTTCCTTAATCAACCTCATCGCCTGTTCCTTCTCCTCCTGCTCCTTATCGTCTTCCTCCCAGACCATGGATTGGGTGCTATAAAGCAGTTTCTATGTTCAGAAGTTTGAAAACTATTGTTTCCATTTACTTCTGAGCCTTCTTACAGCTTTCTGTCCTTTGCGTTTATACAAGTGTCTTAATTTGGTTGTTGCCTGTATTACATCTTGTTTGCAGTTTTCAATTTTATATTTCTTTATTGCTTCTACTCAAATTCTGTGTTTGAAGCAGATATCTTGTTTTCTCCTTTGGTAGTCTGTCTTGTAAATTTACTCACAGCAATGATGTAAGAAATCTCATGTACAGCATATATCCTTTCATTTTTCCTTTTCCTCATGACCCAAGTTTCACTTCCAAAACTAAAATTTGGCATAGCTGTTATACTGTGTAGTCATAACTGAACATCTTTTCTGTTTTATTTTTAAAATTCTTTTTTCATTTCTTAATTTGGTGAATTACGTATCTTTAGCTTTAGATCATTAATAATAAAATGTCAGTCAGTTTTCCTGACATTCTTTAATGGCATTGTCAACATAAATATTAAAACAATAGATTAAGGCAGGCATCTTTTTTTGCCATATCATTACTTCAAATTTATGCAGTATGGAAGGTTAATTACAATGCCTACCACCTTTAAACTTCACTCGGTTCATTTTCACTGCCAGTGGAAAAGCAAAATGCTTGATACATCTCTGTTTCTGGGTCACCTCAACAGGTGAGTTTTGTTTGTTTTTAGAAACTTCAGGAGGAGCTGAATCTGGCTGGGCTAGCAAATTTTGAGAAGGGAGCAGTGGACAGTATTAACCCAGAACTGCCTCTTGATGAACAAGCTGACTTGCTACCATATGACCAAACCTGGGAATTCTCTAGGGAAAAGCTTGTTCTAGGTAAGGAAGCACCAAATGAAGAACTAACAGAAAAATGTCCATTAAATAAGATAGATTATACCAATACTTTCTGAGTTTAAAACTCAAGCTAGTCTCCAGTGATGCACACTAAAGTAAAGAGAGACTATAATGAGACTGTGGTCTTGTAGGTTATGGCATGATTTAGTTTCATATCAGGGTTTTCAAGGAACTTGCTGTGCCTATTTTTAAGCTGTCTATGTACCAAACTACACACCACCACACATAAGAAGATATTAATATTAGCTAAATCAGAGTCTCTTTCTTCTTTTGGAGGAGTTTGAAGCATGGGAAATTTTTGTGTCAATAATAAATGTCAGAAAATTATAAAAATCAATTAAAAACTTTGGGAATTACACTAAAGATCATAGTCCCCATAATTGGCAATTCATCAGAGGAACAAAGTACAGTAAAATACAGTGCCATTAGTAGGCTCAGACTGGATGTATGCTGGCCTTCAGCAAAATTGAAGAACTGATGTTTTATGAAAGGAAATATATATTGTAATTAGGTGCATAATTTTTGTTTGTAATTGTGTGAGATCTCTGTACCCTCACCTGTGTTAGGTTTATTGTGGGCCAAAATTTCAGGGCAGAATGACTGTAGGATTTTAGGGTAAGTGAATGTAGATCCTATAATGATAATCCAGCATTTGAAGCTTTGTGGAGATCAATGTGGAACAAGTCTGAGGAAGTAAATAATTAAGTTGTTGCCTCAAAAGCCTTTGACCAAGACATGCGTATAATTCTCCAGGGTAAAATTCAAATTATGTAGAAAGACCCAAAAGCAAAAGTGAAACTGAAAGTGTACCATATGTTTCAAACAATAGGCATTGACATCTTCAAGAGTGAATTATCCATTCATGCAATGAGATCACACCACAAAAAATTCATGTTGTTCTCTTGGACTAACAAAGACATTTAGGCATTTTTGTTGGCGTGAATGATGGAAATATTGACCATTTCTTTGAAACCACTATGTCAAAACTCCGTTAGTGCCTATAGTTTCAGAGTTATGCAGCACAATGTATAAATTAATACATAAAAGGAACTTAATCTTTGGAGAATTTCAGTCAATAAGCATGATATGCAGCTCCTTTCTACATATGTTTTCTTAGTACGCTGAATAGGAATCTGTATACTGTGTTGAATGAATGACAATAATATTTTGGAGTCAGTGAAATTATTCTGCATTACTAATACCATAATTTGTCATATTGCAGTGCTAATTTTAACACTGAGATTCCATTATTGCTGCAGGCAAACAACTGGGAGTTGGTGCATTTGGTGTTGTCATGAAGGCAGAAGCTTATGGAATAGTGGACAATGAAGAAAAGACCACTGTGGCAGTCAAAATGGTGAAAAGTGGTGCTGATCGCTCATTTATTAAGGCCCTAGCTTCAGAACTTAAGATCATGATACACCTTGGTAAACACCTCAATGTTGTAAATTTGCTGGGAGCTTCAACGAGGAACCTGGCTAAGAGTGAGTTTTAATTGGTTTCTGTAACTTGCAGATATTTATTGAAATTGTTATGTTAAGTAACTATTATCCATCTTTTCCTCTATTACTCTCATTAAGCAATTAATGTATATGAAAAATATGTCATCCACTGTTTAAATTATAAGAAAATTAATTTTCAGGGGCACATTAAGAAGAAAATTTTCATTTGAACAAAATTATCCCAGAAGACAACACTTTTCAAATTGCCTCTGTGAAAACCTCAAATCTCAAATCTTATATGGTAAATATCAAGTTCTATTACTGTGGTGATGTCCCCATGGACACTTCTTTAATTTATTTGTACACATTGTTTTTGCAGTGCAATTGATGATTATTGTAGAATTCTGCCAGTATGGGAATCTCCATAACTACCTTCTGAGACACCGGGATGACTTTGTTAATCAACTGGACCACACAACAGGCAAGCTTAACCTTGCCCTAGGCATGGAGAAATTCTCCAGGTCACAATCAACAAAGAACAAGACAAAGTATTACATTCTACAAACATTCTTGTTCCCCACTACTTTTTTAGTGTAGTAATGAACGATATTTTGGTTTCTGGGGATCATGAATTTTAGTTGTAGCTACAATTGAATGTCTTTAAATTGGCATCACTTTGAAAAATCATACCTACAGTGTACAGTTCTTACATTTCGAGAATGTGAAGAATATTTGCCCCCCTCCCTCCTCTAGAGTTGTCAGTCATATTGAACTACACAAATCTTCTGGTAATCACCATTCTTTTGATAGCCCTTCATTGGAAGTAAATGAATCCAGCTTGTGGGTGCTTCCACCTCAAAAATAAACAATGGAAATAACTGAATTTGGCTTGTGGGTACCTCCACCTCAAAAATAAATTCTGTGTAATTGCCTAAGTGGGCAAAGAGCAGAAAGATCAGTACCAACCATATCTGGAAGCAAAAACAACTTGTACAGTTCATTACACAAATCAGTTCTTTTGTGTCTGTAGATTTTCTATTCTTTAGTCTCTTGCAATTTTATATATGGCATATCTGGAATAGTCTTATTTACTAGAATGTAATGTAATTTCTGTGGCTAAGATGAAAAGGAAAATTTTTTGACACCCAAAGAAATGCTTTAGAGAGTGGTCTTCTGAGTTTGGATGCAGTGTAGCCTCACAGATGGTTATGAACATTTTGGA